TTTAGTTTATTTATAAAACAAAAAATCACTATCTAATATAGTTCAATTTCTTACATCACTTCAAAACCATTACAAGTGACTTATACGAAGCAACTGGTCCAGTGGTTGCCAGAAACAAAATGAAGATCAAGGACACAGTGGACATGAATATTGAAGTATCCTGTGAAGCCACTCCAGATGAGGGCTCAGATGCCCTATGAAAGCAAAATATGGCAATGCATGTCATGCACCATTCTGGATAAAGAGTATTTCACTTACATACCAGCACCTGGCATTTCTTTTATGAGTGTGCATGCATGTCCGTGTGTGCATAAACCACTAATATCACACATTGTTTAAGATTCTTCCATATCAACCACTACAGTGTAAGTGAATCTTAGATAACAAATTGCATATGACTTTTCATTGTCGTCATTCTAGAAATTGAATTCTTAACAAATGATATGCAGCTGTTGTTATTGGTAATAAGTAAAACAAAATCATCTAAGGAACAAAAAAATATGAACTGAAAACTATACAAGTGCAAAAACCACTTCTTAAACAAAAATCTCTTTTTTAAAAGGAAGTAATAAAGAATTTATAGAGTGAAAAGTAAGAATCAAGTATCTGATAATTACTCAAGTATAATGATAGTTTCAGTAAAAAAAAATATGAATCAAAAGGCTACTGAAATCAATACCACAGTTCAACATTTTACAAGGTCAAGTAATTTTTGTCTGACTACTTTATGATTTTTTTTTTACCCAATGCAAATCAGAATGTCCAAGACACAAAACAAAGAGGATTATAAAGGAAATAGAAAAATTGCCCTCATCTCTAGCACTGATAATAGTTATTTCTACAATAACAGACATCATTGCCAACTCATCTTCAATTCCATTAATTTTACTTCTGTTAAGCACATGCTGGTTTGGTGTATCACATGGGGAAAATGTACTATTTTCAATTACTATTCAATGGTAAAAGTTATACTTACAGGTATGGATTAATGACACTACTGTGTCAATTCACATTTTTAATTTAGCTATGTTTTGGATTTTTATTCTAATGGATATGAATGGTAACTAGTATATTTTAACATTACCTGACAACAAAGGACATTTGATGTAGTCTTCATCCACAAAAATAAATATCTTATTACAACCTAGATTATTACAAAGAACAGTTTACTATTTTCTTTCCAAATCTACCACGGGAAAAAATTAGCATTAAAATAATTTAATGGAAATAGAGGTCTTAAAAAAGTTTGGTATGTAACTGTCCAACTCAAGTAAGAAGCAATCAGTGCCTTAGATACTGTAACTGGAATGTATCTGAAACCGTAATTAGCTATGCTTCAACAGTTATTTAATTCAGTAGAATACAATTTACAACACTAGTGAATTTACATATACTATTTATACTGACAGTTATTCATAAACATATTACCTGAACTCTAAGAATACCTTCCTATATCTACATTGTGCAGGAATACTATACCTCTATAGTCTCTCTCACATATTAACAACAATTTGTTTCCTGCATAAAGTATTCATTTCCCACTAGATGAAAATTGTACTGAAAAGTGAAAGGAGTTTGATTTAAAACGGTCAGCCTTTCCTCACTCTTTAAACTGCTATTACTACATGATAGTATTCCCCAGCATATTGTTTTTATTTTATCTGAAGTTGGTAAAATCTTTGTGCTGAATCCTTTGAGTCTCTCTCTAGTGAAAGATGTCAGTTGAGTGTTGTGTGGAGAAAAGGAGGAAAAAATAGTTATCCTTCAAGATGTGTTGCGCACACACCTAAAAGGAATAGATATGAGCAACGTGTGCACGGTGCCAGAAAGTTTTACTCTAGGTGAGCTGTGAAGCCCCTACAGTGGTGCCGGTGCTATTTATGACCCTGACGACCCACTGCCCCTAAATTCCTTCTTGCCAGCTACTCTGACAGTAGGGAAGGAGGATAGGTATGGAATAGCTAAGAGCAACACAGCTTGAAGAACAAGAGTTACAAAAGTGAGTACCCAGTTTTTTCTTATCTGAGTGCTTGCTCACATCTATCCCGATTAGGTGATTCACAAGCCTTACCCAGGAGGAGAGAGAGAAATCAAAGCGTAGCTGACTTGAGAACCGCGGTACCAAAAGTTATAACCTGTCTGGATTATCGTGTGATGGAATATTGTGATGTGAATGTATGTACTGAAGACCAAGCTGCAGCTCTACAGATTTCCTGCAGTGGTATATGAGCTTTTTCCCTATGTTATACAGATTTTATGGAGGAAACCAGTGTCTCTCAAATTAGAGGTCCTGACCCAAAAGGGAGCTGAAGGGGGATCACAAGACTATTTGAGAGATCACAATATTACCACTGTTCTGTGCTACCTTCAGAGTTGGGCAACAACAGTGTGGTGTTGTCCAGGTGCCAAGTTCTGAAGGCAGAATGACCAGCAGCTGTGCAGAAGGATGGTAATACCATACCATGCCATCCTTATTTCTGGGCTGCTGCTGCTGGCAGCAGCTCTGGCTTCAGAGCACAACTCCCTGCCAGCAGTTGCTGTTCTCCAGCTGCGAAGGCAGCATCACCACCAGCAGCAGTGCAGAAGTATGGGTGACAGTACTACAATACACTCTACAATCTCCTTATGACACCTCAACCCAACTCCTTTTTGGATGAGGATCTCTACAATTATAAAACCATGAAACGTCAGACTTAAATAACTAAAATCATTAAATTAATGATTTTTCAATTCCTATGGCTGTGAAACTGATCATAATGGGCCTGAATTTGATAGGACCCTTCAGATCATCTAGCCCAGAGGTTCACAACTGTATCCCATTTAAGAGTCTGTGTTCCCCCAATTTCACCTAACTTAAAAGCTACTTGCTTACAAAATCAGACAAAAATAAAAAGGGGTCACAGCACACTATTACTGAAAAACTGCTTACTTTCTTAATTTTACCATGTAAGTATAAAATCAATTAATTTCTATATAAATATTGTACTTACAGAAAAACGAGGAAAACCCACTCTATGATTTTAAGGTGCTAAAGGACCACTCTTTTTTAAAAAAATTACGAACACAGCTACCCCTTTGAGGCTATTGTACTTATATTTCAGTGAAATGCTTCAGCCTGTTTGTCACTTGTGAGCTTTGTCTGAAACCCAAACCCCCAGTGACATGTATCTTAGCTTTGCAGGAGTCCTTACAATTGCTCTGATTGGCACCCCCTAATATACTCCTTGTACTTGCCATCTTCCTAAATCTATCCCATAACATCCCTCCTCCACGAGGCTCCAATCCCCAGGCTGAGAAACAACGATCTACTTGAGTATCTCCTGGAAGTGACTTGAATATCTCCTGGAAGACCCCTGCATAACCCCCAGCTATACGCATACTCCTGGTTGAGAACCACTGGCCTTATCTCCAATATATCAAGGTCAGCAGCATCACCCAGCACTGACGTACTAAACCCAACAACTGAAATTTAAACCAACTCTTAGGAATTATTTGAAGGGAAATGTATAGCCTATATTACATGGGAGTTCAGACTCGATCACCACAACGGTTCTTTCTGTCCTTGAAATCTACAACTAGGAGCGAACTGAATAGAAATGTGATATTCCCAGATGATAACAGCAATGCATTTTGTTCTTCCCACCTCTACAGGCCTTTGCAGATATCACACTGGCTGTGATCTGAGCCCAACCAACTGTGCACATCATGTGTTTTACCTAAATCCTTGAGGCACCTGGCGCTTGTCACAAACCTCTAGTTAAGAGTCAGAGTAGGTCAACTATGTTCTAATGTATTCAATATTGTGACATCCATCAAGGAGTGGTAACACTGATTCAAGATCACTGTAGTAAGTTGAGGGTCAGTAACATGAAGTCAGCAGGCCTAAATAGAGCCTTGCAATCTAGTGAGCAAGACTTTGGTTCAGTAACATAGGAGCCAAGAAAGAAGCCCTATTGATAATTGTGCGATTGTGTAAGTTAGGTCAAGCATGGAAGGACACAGGGAGGCACTGGGTACAGACTGTAAGCCAAAGGAGAGTAATGGAACATCTTAATAAGAAATGTCTTGGTACAAAGACTCCCTAAAAACTAATGCACATACCGACCTAGGTTCAGGACAAGGTCGGAATTGAAGCATGAAGGATAGTAAGTAAGCCCCCCTTCCATAAGGTGAGGGGTGGTAACTAGGCAACAGAGAGTGGTAACCTGGCACGTAAAGAAATGATGTAAGTTGTTTGTACCTCTGTATAAAAAGGACACTGCAGAGGGTGCTCTCCAGCCGACCTTGGAGGGTGAGGGGGGGCGCACTAGGCGCCTGAACGGCAGGTGTCATTGCCTGACCTTACAGAACACACAGTAGCTTAACTTTGACTAACTGCTGTTAGTATCTGATATATGGCAATAGGCCTGCCCGGTGTTGGTACCTTGTCAACACGGGCCATAGCGCCAAGTGGTGTAACATTGGACTGATCTCTGTTACCGACTGGTAGAGCTTTGCATTTGACAATAAACCTGCTCAACTGATTTTAAACCTTGCCTGCATCTGTCGTTTCCGGGGCCTCTCAGAGATCTCCTATGTTGACCCAAGTGCACGGGGTCTAACACTCCAGATAAAGGGAGTACCGATTGTTACGCACGCAGCCGAAAGTTTATCATCACCGACAGAGTAGAGATCCCGTCAGGAACGCACCAGGACAACCCTGACCAGACGATGCTGACACTGACAGTCCACCAAAGGTACCGAGGTACGAAAACACCGAGGTATGACACAGGAAACCAAGAAACAGAAGATCTCCAGCTACGTCCCTTCCTTCAGCCTTTGGGCACACAGACCTCTTATCATAAATGGGGTAATGCTGAGTTGTCTACGTTGGCTGATTATCAGCTGGGGATTCTCACATGGTGGGACACTAATATGGGTATTAAAAAGCAGCATGGCATAGATTCTGGCCCCAGGTCTGCAGCTATAAAATAATAAAAGTTGTCATGGCTTAACCTTACCTTGCAAAGAAAGCTGATGTTAAAACCCAGCGACTGAGCATTTCTTGAGCCTGAATTCATGTAGTTTCCAACCAACAACACTAGCTCTAGCAACCTGTTAAAGCTCTCACTCTTCTTCAGCTCCTCACAGGCTAGTGTTACTGCCATTATGCCAGGTCTAATGTTGTTTACATGTTCTTCAAACATCAGCTTGAAAAGGATGCCATTGAGGCGTGGCCGTAACATTTTCACTGAGCTCATCTGCAAGAGAAGGAATGCTAAGTGAGAATACAAAGAATAAAAAAGCTTTTGTATGCAGCATATCTTAATTTTATAAACAATATTCCCTTTCCAATATGAATTCATAGAGTACAACTGCATGCTCATTGTTCTGAGTAATGTGTATTTCCGCACATACAAGGATTTCACAGAATAATGTCTTTTTCAGTTTAACCCATTAATCGCAAAAAAAGATTCAACATTTTATTCATATTTTCTAGAGTTAAATTGTTTTATAAGCATTAAAAACAACCAACACCTCCCAACCCCACAACCACCATCACCAACCAGTACTGAATATTCTGCCAAAATACTTCCCTGAGGTGAATTAGATGAAAGCCATGTACGTGGATTGCTAAAAACTACAGATTAAATAAAATATATAAACTGTCACAAATACTGTCATGGACATCATGCTTCCAAAAAAAGTGTCCATTAAGATGCTTAACACATTCTAAATCTACCTCTTACTTTTGCACTTGTTACATTTAGAAACAGAAAACTAGAAAACTGTATAATTTATAATCCCTTTTAAAATGTTCATGTTAAGTAATTATAACATAATTAATATGATGTCACTTTGATGTACCACATAAATTTTAAAGCACTACATATAAGTTTGTCCTCTCAACAGTCCTTCTGCTAATTATTTGGTTTACTATTTTTGCACTGGTATATTTCCATTACCTATTTATCTAGCGCTCATTATTAGTTCTATTTCTTGTGAGAACAATAACTCCAATACTGTACATATAGCCAGCATGTAGCCATTTAAAACACAACATGAAAAACAGAGAAAGTGTCTGCAGCTAGTAAATTCCTTTTAGTGTCAGATCATTTTGGATGCCATGATCATTTTCCATGCATCAGTTATCTTAGTGAAGTATTCAGCCCCTAACCTTAATAGCAAATACTTGAGAAAAATATGCAAACATCAATAATCTCTTAGCCTCAATGTTGTGGCAACAAACTCCACATGGAACTGCAAATATCTGTAATACAGGGGTTCCTGACTGTAGGATGGTCCCCGCTGGGGGTCATGAAGGAATGTGTGGTGGGTCTGGGACATCCTCCTCCCCCATGGGAAATGGGAAGGAATGTTAACCAGCCTCTCCCCACCCCAAGCTCTACTTCGGTTGTGTCTACAGCTGTGCTACCAGCCCAGCACCTCACCCTATCCCCAGCCTCACCATGGCTTTCATCCTTGCCCTGTGCCAGCCCTTGACCTCTGCTGCTGGCTGCAGTCCAGTGCCTGGCCTGGGGACGAAGCTGTGAAAGAAGCTGCATCTGGCCACGGGAATGGCTGCTCTCCCACCCATAGCCCAGCTCTGCCCCTTCCTTGATGCCAATACCACTCCTGGCCCCTAACATCCCCTACAGCTGCAGTCTCAGTCAGTTTATAGAATCATAGCTTTAATGTTTGGAAGTATTATGAATGATGTCTTTGCTCAATTAAAAATAGTGCAGCTATTGAGAAATATCCGAAGTGTAAATGTGGTGGTATCAAAGTAACTGTTTTTGAAGAAGTGTATCAGAAGGACAACAGATTGAGAATCAAATATTTTAAGTACTACAGTACTACAGTCTATAAGGGCACAACTAGACTATGTCTTAATTTCGAAAGAGGATATGCAAATTCAAGTGGAAAAGTCTTCTTCCAGCGGGTCTTTCGAAAGTGAAAGCAATCTGGATGCAGTTTTTTCGGAAAAAACCCTTTTTCGAAAAAAAAAAGCTCTTCCTAAAAAAGGAGGTTTACGTGGTTTTTCGAAAAAGGGTTTTTTTCCCCCCCAAACAACCCCGCTGTCCAGACTACTTTTGCTTTCGAAAATGCGACCAGAAGAAGATATGCAGAAGATATTCCTGGAGTTTGCATATCCTCTTTCAAAATTAAAAAGTAGTCTAGACGTTTCATATGAAGAGGAAACTTACCAATAGCTCAACCAAATATTAATTAAAATATTAAGGGAGTTTTGCATCTATGTGGAATTCATTGCCCCAACAATGAGTCCAAAAGCTTATCAGGATTCAATTAAAAAAATAAAAAGAACCTATTGGACATTTATATGGCTAACAAGAATATCCAGAGCAGCTATAGAAAGTTAATTTTTTTTCTAGGAATTAGCTTGTGGTCCACTATGACCCCTAGATCCCTTTCTGCAGAACTCCTTCCTAGACAGTCGCTTCCCATTCTGTGTGTGAAACTTATTGTTCCTTCCTAAGTGGAGTACTTTGCATTTGTCCTTATTAAACTTCATCCTATTTACCTCAAACCATTTCTCCAGTTTGTCCAGATAATTTTGAATTATGACTCTCTCCTCCAAAGTACTTGCAACCCCTCCTAGTTTGATATACAGGCAGTCCCCGGGTTACGTACAAGATAGGGACTGTAGGTTTGTTCTTAAGTTGAATTTGTATGTAAGTCGGAACTGGTACATATTGTAGGGGAAACTCTAGCCAAACATTTTTTTTAGTTTTGGATAGCATAGGGAAAGGTTAACTCCCCTCTAATGTTTGTTTTGCTGTCTGTTCCCCTGTTCAGAAGATTTCACATCTATTTCTGTCCCTGTGACAAACTCAGGACTAAAAGAGTAACTCATCAAATACCAAACAGCTCTGCACCATGCTTTGAGCTAATAGCTTTATTTCCACACACCACCCAGGGTTCTAGGAGGAGGGTCCTTTTTTTGCTAACACAATGAGGCCAGCACTTTGTTTGTTTTGGTGGAGTCTTTGTTTGCCCAGGGAGCCCAGCATGTATAGGGGGAGGAGGGGCGGAGAGGCTGCTTTTGTCTGCTGTTCTGCAGCCTGTTGCTCAGGGGAGGGGGCAGCCTGTTGCTGGCAGGGGGGGAGGGGGGAGGCGTGCAGGATGCGAGGCAGCGGGGGGGCAGCGGGCGTGGGGAGGCACTTTTCCTCTGCCCGGCAGCTCTGCGGGATCCCTGTCCCTGGGGCCAGCTGCTGCAGGCAGAGGCCAGGTGGAGCCGGCTGAAGAGGAGGAGGAGATGGATTCTAGGACCCAGGTGAGCGAGCCCCGGGGACGCTGCTGCGCTCCGGGAGCCCGGCATGTATAGAGGGGAGGAGGGGCAGAGAGTCTGCTTTTGTCTGTTCGGCAACCTGTTGCTCAGGGGAGGAGGCAGCCTGTTGCTGGCAGCAGGGGTGGGGAAGCACTTTTCCTCTGCCTGGCAGCTCTGCGGGACCCCAGTCGGAGCCGGCCCGAGGAGGAGGAGGATCCTAGGACCCAGGTGAGCGAGCCCCGGGAATGCTGCTGCGCATGTGCGGGAGTTGCCTCACCCCGTTCGTATCTAGGGATCCGACGTAAGTCGGATCCACGTAAGTCGGGGACTGCCTGTACTCTGCAAACTTACATTCAATGTCAACAGCTAACTGTTGATGAAGATATTTAACAGAAACAGTCCCAAAACAGACCACTGTGGAACCTGACTTGTTATGCCCTTCCAGCAAGACTATGAACCCTTAATAGCTACTCTGAGAACTGCTATACAGCCATTTATGCACCCACCTTATAACAGCCACTATCTAGGTTGTATTTCTTTAGTTTATTGGTAAAGGTGGTCATGTGAGGCCATATCAAATACTTTATTAAAGTCTAGGCATATGACATCCACCGCTTCCCCCTTATCCACAAGATTTGTTGTTCTGTCAAAGAAAACTATCATTTTGGTTTGACATGATTTGTTCTTTACAAATCCGTGCTAGCTGTTACCTATCACCTTATTATCTTCCAGATGTTTGCAGATGAATTCCTTAATTATTTGTTCCTTTATCTTTCCTGGCACAGAACTTAAGCTGACTGGTCTGTTGTTTTTTGGGTTGTTCCAATTTCCCTTTTTAGAGATGGTCACTATGTTTGCCATTTTCATCAGGCCCTGGTGATTTGAAGACATCTAACTTTTCTAAGTAATTTTTAACTTGTTCTTTTCCTATTTGAACTTCTATCTTCCCTGTTTCAATTAGCATTCACTATATTAGGCATCTATCACCATCAATCTTCTTGATAAAACTCAAATAAGTTGTTAAGCACCTCTGCCAATTCCAAGTTTTCTGTTGTTTTTCTCTCTTCTCTGAGCAATGGGCCTAACCAACCCCTTCTTGAACTTCCTCTTGCTTTTAATATATTTGTAGAATAGTTGTAGAAGAGTTATGCTTCTGCATGTAATCCAACAAGCATATGTTGGGAGGTTAGCAACTACTTCAGATTTTTTTATATAATTGGCAGAATTCAATTTATAAATTACTCAGTGACATCACTGACACATTACTGCCATTAATATACATTAGTTTTAATAGGGCCTAAATCCGTGGAAGAGTTCATAAAAAGGAAGAAGTCCTTTGAAAATTCAAAGTTTAAACCTGTGAAGTTTCCAGTACATTCTCTCTCCTGAAAAGGTTTTGTTTCTGCTCAAAGTGGATATGGAAAGCACTGATCTTGTGCCATCTACAAAAAAAGCTACTCCTCCAACTCTTACTGCTGTGTGATCCCTCTGAACCTACCTAACCCTGAGTTACCTCAAATCCTGCTTAAAGCCTGATGAGTCATCCCTAAATTACCTGGGAGCCTAAATCTGTTAACACAGCTGCAATACTGAAAGGCTGATGAACCAACTCTGAGCCAAAGAACTTGATGAGTCATTAGAAAGAATTACCAGCAGGTTTTGTGATGGACTGCACCCCATTCAAATGGGATTCAGCTAATCCACAAACAAGGGCTAACCCATATTATCCCAAAGCAGAAATACAGATGCTTAAGGGAAGCAGTCTCTCCAGACTGCTCGATATCACTACTGGCCACAAACATTTCCAATACTAAGTTTTCACAGACTTGCAGCCTGTTTCAACTCCTGTCTGAGCGTGGACATGTCTAATCAGTTTATGAGACTAAAGTGGTTTTGTTTTCTATTTTTAATACACCATTATAAAAATATAATGCAGATTAAAAGTCAGCCTTTTTTAATTTAAGATACTGA